CGCCCCGCCGCCTGCCTCCGCCCCTCGGGCGCCTCTGCTGCGCGGACGGCGCGAGACCCATTCTCCCTCCTCCCCCGCCCCGCCAGCGCCCCGGCCCCGCCCGGATCTCGTCGACTTCGGGCGGGAAGTGGTTGTCCTGGGGGCGTCGCCGCCAAGGCGCCCCAGTCTGGCTCCTCCCGACTGCCGAAGTGTCCCCAGCCGCCCTCGCTCGCACGGACTCATTAGCCTCATCCCCACTTTTCTCCCAGGGCCAGCAGTTTCCCAGCATAGATCGGAGAAGTGCGCTCTCAATTCCTTTCTGGGCACAGCTGAGTGAGATCGTCCAAGACCCTAAATCCTCCTCTTGGAGAGGGGTCGGAAGCCCCGCCTTGAGAGAATGGCTCCGCCCAGCTCCACTGGCCAGTAACAGGCGATGTTTACCTGCCTCTCCAGTGCCCAGAGCCACTACTTAGGAACTGTTGAGTCACCCATCACCTGTCTTCTCAGCCACTCTGGGGCTCCCGGGGCCAGGCGGCTGTCACAGTCCTCCCTCGGATAGTCCCAGGGCTCCTGGCTCCCGAGGCTGGAGTGGGGAAGACCAGATTTGCCCAGACAGCTGGGGTGACCCACCCCACCCCTCTCTCCAGGACAGTAGCCTGGAGTAGTTGCGGCCTCTGGCCACTAGGTGTCAGCCTGGCCCCACCGTGGCCTTGGGTCGTCTCCCGCCTTCAAAAGAGTAAAGTGGTTGCTTCGGGGGCGGGGAGGGGGGTGGAAATGAGGCTGATCCTAGTTGGAAGCTAGTGAAGTGAAGTGTGCGTAAAGCGTGGAAGAAGGGGGAAGGGAGAAGTACGGAGGAGGAGGAACCTGAAAATTCGAAGCTCAGAGACCCAAGGACCAGGTCGTCTGGATGTTTGCTCTGTCTTCCATGAAGGCTCCAAGGTTACACATTAATCCTTGCTGGGGGAACCTGGGTCATTCTAGGGCCAGTCCATTACTAGGTGACAGCACGATGTCCTAGGTGAGTGCCCTCCCCCCTCTAAGCTCACGAGACAACCGGTCCACCAGCCAACACTGGTCTGTGCTAGTACCGTTGATCCATTCCAAGTGTTCCTTCCAAGAAGGAAAGTGTCCTTCCGAGGCGGGGGGGGGGGGGGGGATCACAAGCAGAAGATAAACATCCTTTTCCTCGAATTACTCCCTCATTCAAAAACAGGGACGCTAGCCTTTAGCGAATGACCATTTACTTCTTTAATGCTGAGATTTTAATTAATTAATTCATTTATTTTGATAGTTGTGGGGCCTGAACTCTGGGCCTGGGCGCTGTCCCTCAGCTCTTCAGCTCAAGGCTAGCACTCTACCACTTGAGCCACCTTCCCAGCCCAATGCTGAGATTTTATAGAGCTCCCGCAGAGCAGGAGGGGCTATCGTGTACACTGGCCCTAGCTACTTAGTAAGCTGAGATCTGAGGATCACGGTTCAAAGCCAGACTGAACAAGAATTTCAGTGAGACTATCTTCAATTAACCACCATAAAACCAGAAGTGGGGGACTGGGAATGTGGCTTAGTGGTAGAGTGCTTGCCTGGCATGCATGAAACCCTCAGTGCTACGTAGAAATAGAAAAAGCCGGAAGTTGGCGCTGTGGCTCAAAGTGGCAGAGTGCTCTTGAGCAAAACGAAGCTTAAGGACAGTGCCCAGGCCTTGAGTTCAAACCCTGCAACCAAATCAATCAACTAATTCACTTCTATTAAGAATTTAGTGGGTGATATTAGTTAGCTTTCTACTTCTGGTCAAAAGCATTGAATCCTTTTCCAGAAGCTGCCAGATACTGGGTTGATTCCACCTACTGGAGGAGCCCATCTCCAAGGACAGCGGTTTGGGTGTGCATTCCGAGGTGAGAGCAATGACAAATGCCTAGTCACCAGTCGGGTCAGCCCCGGGGGGGTGTGGTGTGGTGATGGTGGTGGTGGTGGTGGCATGAAGTCTTCCCCAGATGAATCAACTGATACAGCTCGGGGTTTCCCGGTCCCTCCTTAGGCAAACACGAAACTCACCCTGCTTCCAGCACGACTCTCGGTTTGTTTTGTTTCTCGTGTTTACGTGCCAATAAAAACCCACGCCAGTCGGAAATGGCGTCCTTGGTGGGAAGAGCAGGGTTAGTCTACCCTCATTCCGCCTTGGGCTGTGCGGATAACGGTGGATCACGGCCTTCCTCCCATCGCGCTTGGCCCAGGGCCAGGTAGTGCGCCCCAGGGGTGAGAAAAAGGCGGGTGCGAGCAAACACACACACACCGGTACCGCCCTATTCTTGGACCCTACGTGGGGGATGATGGTCGCGAGGCAAAAGCGAACTCGTGTCGGGGAAGTGAGCATCCGATGGGTTCGAAAACACCCGCGCGCGCCCCAGCCAGTTCTTAATTAGCTGAGCTGGCTCCGCCCCGAAAAAGTTGCACAGCCACAGGGGCGGGGCTCCAGGACGGGCGGGTCTGCGCACGCGCCGCGCGGAGGGTCCCCGGAGGCTTAGCTCTGAGAAATGAGATGGAGAAATACGAGCGGATCCGAGTGGTAGGGAGAGGCGCCTTCGGGTGAGCCGGGGCTCTGGGGAAGGGAACTGCTAGGGCAGAGGGGAAATAAGTTCCAACGCTTGACTGAAATTTGCCGCCTGGCTAACCCCTCCCCAAGGCTTGAGTGCCATTCTGAGAAGCCCCGCCCCGGCTTCCGGTTCGGGCCTAGCGAGGAGATTCCGCCCTAAAGGGGCCACGCCCCTCGCCAGCCGCTGCGCGGTAGGGAGTTCTCTGAAGTTGCTCGTCCTTGATATTTCTTGATATGGAGCCAAGACGTCTGGCTGTGGGCGCTGATTATACAGATGACAAAAATAGACGTGGTCCTCATTCACCATACAGGACCTGTGTACAGTAAGATGTTAAGCTGGGTGCTAGTGGTTTACACCTGTAATTCTAGCTATTCAGGAGGCTGAGATCTGAGGATTGAGGTTGGAAACTAGCCTGGGCAGGAAAGTCTGTGAAACTTATCCCAAGTAAACCAACAAGAACAACAACAAAGCTAGAAGTAGCCGGGCACTGGTGGCTCACGCCCAGAATCCCAGCTATTGTAGAGGCTGAGATCTGAGGATCACGGTTCAAAGCCAGCCCTGGGAGGCAAGTCCATGAGACTCTTATCTCCAATTACCCACCAGAAAACCCGAAGTGGCGCTGTGGCTCAGGTGATAGAGTGCTGGCCTTGAGCTGAATAGCTAAGGGACAGCACCCAGGCCCTGAGTTCAAGCCCCAGAACTGGTTGGTACAAAAAAAGAAAAAGGACAATATAATTTCTGCTTTTATATACACTGACCACAGAATTGAAATAATATATTGAGTGGGTTCCTTCATTGAACTTTTTTTTTTTTTTGAGACCACGTCTCATTATATATCCTAGAACTTGGGTAATTCAGGCTGGCCTCAAACTCAAAATCTTTCTGTCTCAGTTTTCCAAGAGCTGGGATTACAGATATGTACTACCACACTTAACTTCTTCTACCTGATATATGGCTGGAGGCTCAGCTAGTGCCTGCTCCATTCTATATGTCTCTAGGATTGTGCACCTCTGCCTGCGAAAGGCTGACCAGAAGCTGGTGATCATCAAGCAGATCCCAGTAGAGCAGATGACCAAAGAAGAGCGGCAAGCAGCCCAAAACGAGTGCCAGGTGCTCAAGTTGCTCAACCACCCCAATGTTATTGAATACTATGAGAACTTCCTGGAGGACAAGGCACTCATGATCGCCATGGAATATGCACCAGGTGGGCCTGCCTCCTTTCCCCACCTGGTTTCATGGACCTCGCACTTCTAGGATAGCCAAACAAATATGTGATTAAGTAGCTTCCTTCATTGGAATGGGGCTTGGCTGAAGGTCAGAAGTGCATTCTGGTTCCTTGTCCTCTCTGACCCTAATCCTCTTCCATAAAAGGAGAGGAGTTGTGTCCCATATGGAAGAGTCCAGATCTTGAGGAGCTTCTTGGGTTACAGGTGGCACCCTGGCTGAGTTCATCCAAAAGCGCTGCAACTCTCTGCTGGAGGAAGAGACCATCCTTCACTTCTTTGTGCAGATCCTGCTTGCCCTGCATCATGTGCACACCCACCTCATCCTGCACCGGGACCTCAAGACCCAGAACATCCTTCTTGACAAACACCGCATGGTTGTCAAAATTGGTGATTTTGGCATCTCCAAGATCCTTAGCAGCAAGAGCAAAGCCTACACGGTGCCTAGACATGGAAGGGACCCTAAGGATGCTAAAAGTGTTGAGGGCAGAGGTCTATTCTACATCCTTACGTCCTCCCAGCACCCCCCCCCCAAAAAAAAAACCAATCTGGCTCCCTGGCCCCTAGCTGTATAGTCTTGTAGGAGAAAGCCTTTTGGCCTGCTTTGAAGGGAAGCTGTCCACAAATGGGTGTGTGGCCAAAGCCTAAAGTGGACTCTAATTAGGTTTCCTTCCTGCAGGTGGTGGGTACTCCATGCTACATCTCCCCTGAGCTGTGTGAGGGTAAACCCTACAACCAAAAGAGTGACATCTGGGCCCTGGGCTGTGTCCTCTATGAACTGGCCAGCCTCAAGAGGGCCTTTGAAGCGGCAGTGAGTATAAACTCCCCTAAAGAAACAACTGGGAAATCTTGCTCCGTGCTCAGCAGCCCTCAGTTCCAACCATTTCTGAGCTTCTTCTCTTCAGTCAGTCATATCTCAATCGTATCTGGATTTCCCCAGGTGGATTACCTCAGGTCTGGGCTTGTGGCTCTTCTGGTTCAGATGACCTGTGGTAGTCTCAGCAGTTTAGGGAGGAAGTGCTGGAACTCCCTTATCAGACTAGGAATTCCTGAAAGTAGGGTTTGGCTTTGCTCCCAATGGGAGAGCCCTCTGATGAGACACTGAAGTCTCCTTCAGTAAGACTCTGATTATCCCATCAGATCCTCAGATGGAGATGGAGCTAAGGGTGCTGCTCTGGCTAAGAGCCTAGCCCAACACCCTGGCCACCTATACTCCAACTTTGGGGCTTCACAGAACCTGCCAGCACTGGTGCTGAAGATCATGAGTGGCACCTTTGCCCCCATCTCTGACCGGTACAGCCCTGAGTTGCGCCAGCTTGTCCTGAGTCTGCTCAGCCTGGAGCCCTCACAGCGTCCACCACTCAGCCACATCATGGCTCAGCCCCTCTGCATCCGGGCCCTCCTTAACCTTCACACGGATGTGGGCAGCGTTCTCATGCGGAGGTCTACATAGATGGAGGGGTCCTGGGTGATAGGAGAGGGGAAGGGGGGGCTCCCTCTGTACTTCTGTGTAAGATTGCTGGGGAGTGTCCGTGTCCTGAGGCTCTTGTGTCTGTCCTTCAGAGCAGAGAAGTCCCTGGTCCCAGGACCACCCATAGCCCCCAGCAGTACAGGGAACAGGACTTCCAGTGCCCGCTGCAGAGGTAAGTGGGGTGCCAAAGCTTGCTTATTCCTGACCATTTCCATTAGTTTAATTGGCTGTGTATCCACAGGCATGCCCCGGGGATCACTGAGGCCTGCCATCCCCCCACCACTCTCTTCAGTGTATGCGTGGGGTGGGGGGCTCAGCACACCTCTGCGGCTGCCCATGCTCAACACTGAGGTGGTCCAGGTGGCCACCGGGCGCACACAGAAGGCCGGGGTCACACGCTCGGGACGCCTTATCCTGTGGGAGGTGAGCAGGTTGGCATTGGCTGTGGCCTGGATTGGGTGAAGGTGTCAGGAGGTTTGGAGATGCTCAGGCGCCGCCCACTTCCCCTCCCCTCCCGCAGGCTCCGCCCCTAGGCGCTGGGGAAGGCGTGCTCTTGCCTGGGGCGGTGGAGCACCCTCAGCCCCAGTTCATCTCACGTTTCTTGGAGGGCCAGTCAGGCGTGACCATCAAGCACGTGGCCTGCGGGGACCTCTTCACCGCTTGCCTGACTGGTGAGCTTGTCAGAGGAGAATCCTGTAGGAACTTCTCCACAGAGCAACTTTTTTTCCGTTGCAAATTGCTCAACTAATGCTTGTCTCTTTTCTCCTAATTAACAAATTAACTGCTTCTATGGACTAGCAGTGGAGAACATGTGCTTACACCCGTCTCTGTTACCCCGTAACAATGGGCAGATGCCACAAGGGCCCATTTGACAGATGGGGAAACTAAAGCTTAGAGAAGTGGTCACTTGTCCAAAGCCACACACAGGAAGAGATCCATCTTTCTCGCCCCCCTCCCCCAATCCTTCTAGCCTTAGCCCCAATTTTATCCCCCTCCTCCAACTCACGTGTGTATCAAGCTAGTTTCACTCCTCTTTCCTTAAACTGCTTTCTTTCCCAGACCGTGGCATCATCATGACCTTTGGCAGTGGCAGCAATGGGTGTTTGGGCCATGGCAGCCTTACTGACGTCAGCCAGGTGGGTGGCACTTGTGCCCTGGAAAGGGGAAGTGAGAGACTGCTAGGGAGCGCACATGTGAAAGCTGACACCAGGTGGTGCCGGTGGGAGGGGTGGGGGGGGAGGTGTGGGGAAGTCCTCAGCAGCCAAGTTACCACTAGCTCCCAGGCTGCACCTGTTCTGGGTAGGATCTGAGCAAGTACAGAAAGACCATGCTTGGAAGTGGTGCTGTAGCTCAAGTGGTAGAGCGCTGGCCTTGAGCTGAAGAGCTGAGGGACAGCCCTCAGGTCCAGAGTTCAAGCCCCAGGACTGACCAAAAAAAAAAAAAAAAAAGACCTTGTTTCTTAGTGGCAGTTTGTTCTGAATGTGGTGGATGGAGGACTGCATTTAAAGAGACAACACCTTCTGAAAATTTGCAGCCTAGCTGTACTCCTAGTTACTCAAGATGCTGAGATCAGAGGATCATGGTTCAAAGCCACTCTGGGCAGGAAGGTCTTTCTTTCTTTTCCTCTCTCTCTCTAGCCCACCATTGTGGAGGCCCTGCTGGGCTATGAGATGGTACAAGTGGCCTGTGGGGCTTCCCATGTACTGGCCCTTTCCACTGATCGAGAACTGTTTGCCTGGGGCCGTGGAGATGGTGGTAAGCTCCCTCTATTTCTTTGCTGTAGCCTCTAAGTTCCTTTTCACAGCTTCCTTAGCCATGGTTCTTCTTTATACCTACTTCTACCCCCTTGGGCCTTTCCTCTTTCCTCTCAAATTCTTTTTTTTTTTTTTTTGTCGGTCGTGGGGCTTGAACTCTGGGCCTGGGCACTGTCCCTCAGCTCTTCAGCTCAAGGCTAGCGCTCAGCCGGGTGCCAGTAGCTCCCGCCTGTAATCCTAGCTACTCAGGAGGCTGAAATATAATGATCGTGGGTCAAAGCCAGTCCAGGCAGGAAAAGGCCGTGAAACACTTACCTCCAATACCAGAACACCGGAAGTGGTGCTGTGGCTTAGGTGGTAGAGCTCTAGCCCTGAGCTAATCTCAGCTTCCTGAGTAGCTAGGATTACAGGTGTGAGCCCCTGGCACCTGATGAGTTTTTTCTTTTCCAACAACATTTATTTGTTATTATTACTTTATTACTTTATTTATTTATTGTGGGTCATGGGGCTTGGACTCTGGGCCTGGGTGCTCTCCCTGAGCTCTTCAGATCAAGGTTACTGTTCTACTACTATGAGCCACAGAACCACTTCCAGTTTTCTGGTGGTTAATTGGAGATAAAGAGTCTCACAGCCCGGTGTTGGTTGCTCATGCCTGTAATCCCAGCTACTCAGGAGGCTGAGATCTGAGGATCACGGTTCAAAGCCATCCCAGGCAGGAACGTCAATGAGACTCTTCAATAAACCACCAGAAAACCAGAAGTGGTGCTGTGGCTCAAGTGGTAGAGCAGTAGCCTTAAGCTGAATAGCTGAGGGACAGCGCCCAGGACAGATTCAAGTCCCATGACCAATCAAAAAAAAAAAATCTTACAGACTTCCCTGCCCCAGCTAGCTTTGAACTTTGATCCTCAAACCTCAGCCTCCTGAGTAGCTAGGATTACATGTGTGAGCCACCCCCCCACCTTATTATTTTTATTTGCAGTGTTGGAGATCAGACCGAGCGCCTTGTATATGCTAAGCATATCTATCCATCCAATAGTACTTACTGAGATCCTTTCTGGATTAGGCATTAGACTGGACACTTAAACTAGAGATGACATAGATGGTTTTTGGAAGAGAGGGGTGGAGATGACCCATTTTCAGCATGCTCAGGACAACTAGCATCAGGGTTATACCCAAGATTCAGAAGTGACAATTCAAGGATAGCTGTGTCACCTGTCAGGGACAGGTAGCATCAGAACAGGAGCTTGAGCCAGGTATTGGTGGTTCATGCCTGTAATCCTAGCTGCTCAAGAGGCTGAGATCTGAGGATCACAGTTCGAAACCAGCCCAGGTGAAAAAGCCCATGAGACTCTTCAATGAACTACTCAGAGAAACCTGGAAGTAGCTCTGTGGCTTAAATGGTAGAAGCTAGTCTTGAACAAAAGATGCTCAGGGAGGGGCTGGGAAGGTGGCTCAGTGGTAGAGCGTTTGCCTTGCATGCCTGAGGCCCTGGGTTCAATTCCTCAGCACCACATAAGAAAAAAGCCAGAAGTGGCGCTGTAGCTCAAGTGGTAGAGTGCTAGTCTTGAGATGAAGAGCTGAGGGACAGCGTCCAGGCCCAGAGTTCAGGCCCCACGACTGAACCCCCCCCCAAAAAAAAAAAGATGCTCAGGGACAGTGCCCAAGACACACACACATGCACACATGCATGCACGCACACACACATAGGAGCTTGCTTGCTTGCTTGCTTTTTTCTTTGTGTGTGAGACAGGGTCTTGAAGTGTCATCCACTGATTGTTCTATAACCTGAAAATCTTCCTGCCTCAGCCTCCTGAATAGAGGGATCATGAACAGGCTTGTAAAGGATTTTCAGCAATAGAAGAACCTCAAAAAGTCATTTCAGGCTAAGAACAGCCTTCACTCATACTATTTCCCTAGTGGGCCCTCTTCCTTCTGACATCAATATCCCTAAAGCTCCAACTAACCTCAACTTATTTCTTCTTGTAGGTAGGCTGGGACTAGGTACCACAGAGTCCCATAGCTGCCCCCAGCAGGTACCTTTACCCTCAGGACAGGAAGCCCAGCGAGTTGTATGTGGCATTGATTCTTCCATGATCCTCACAGTGTCTGGCCAAGCCCTGGCATGTGGGAGCAACAGGTGAATAGGTGGATGTAAATGTCCCTGTCTTCATTCTTGTGCCTCTCCCCAAGAACCAGAACTGAAGGGGGCTGAGAGTGCTGTTTGGTTCAACTCAGGGTAGCATCTGTCTACCAGCCACTACCCATATAGGTGGGGGCAAGACAGCTATATAAACTGTCAGTTGGCTTTGTCTTTAGGTTTAACAAGCTGGGCCTGGACCACCTTTCTAAGGGGGAGGAGCCTGCCTCTCATCAGCAAGTGGAGGAGGCCCTAAGCTTCACACCACTAGGCTCTGCACCCCTGGACCAAGAGCCCCTCCTGAGTGTGGACCTAGGCACTGCTCATTCAGCTGCTGTGACTGGTGAGTAAAACCTGGGGACCAGGGTTTTGAGAGATGCTTACCGGGCCTCCTTGGGACTTTTGTTAAAGGACCTTCCTTTTTCTCCTTTTCCCTTCCCCACAGTCTCAGGCAGCTGCTACACTTTTGGCAGCAATCAGCATGGGCAGTTGGGTACCAACACTGCCCGCCGGGGAAGCCGGGCACCCTGTCAGGTCCAAGGCCTGGAGGGCATTAAGATGGTGATGGTGGCCTGTGGGGATGCCTTCACTGTAGCCATTGGGGCAGGTGAGTGTGGGTTTGATGGGGGCAGGCCCAGGCATGCATATGTAATCTCAGGGCTGGTGGACTCAACAACCTTTTGTTGGAACCAATTTAACCATTTGGTTGTATGACTGCTTGCTTAGGCTCTGTCCTATCTGGCCAAATCCACTTAGCACCACCACTACCATCAAAAAAAAAAAAAAGGGCTGGGAAGGTGGCTCAGTGGTAGAGTGCTTGCCTTGCATGCCTGAGGTCCTGGGTTCAATTCCTCAGCACCACGTAAGAAAAAAGAAAAAAGCCG